GGACATGGAGTGTATTGTTTCCCAACCCCATTGCAAAGCGAGAGGAGGGCTAGGAATGTGAGTTTCTGGGGCTGCAACGTGGCAGGAGATTGGGGTGGCAATCCCCCTGATAGGAGTAACAAGCTGCCACATTGTATCAGGAACAATTAGAGATTGACAGACATATGCTGCCCTTTCAGCCTTTTCAGGTGGGAAGCACCTTACGCTGATGCCTTACAGATTGTTTGATAAAAAGTTTATGAAGCAGGCACAGAGTTTGGAAAAACTGCAATGAAGACCAACCCTGAAATATATCCAATGTATATGACAGCCCATGGGTGGGTGGCTCTCTTGCTTGCAACAGAAAAACTGGGTTCAAATCCCATTAGAGATTTCTGGACACATAATCCAGGCTGAGATCCCTCGTCCCAATGGGAATGTTGTATTGTCAGAGTTTATCATAATGGATGTAACAGCAAAGCCATTAGAAATACATAATATGGTCAAGTAGAGTCATGAGGGAAAATCATGCCTGACAAATATATTAAAATTCTTCGGAGGTAGCAATCAGGACAGATGACGGGGAAGCAGTGGATGTAAAATGTTTGGATTTTTAGGACGTGTTTGAGAAGGTACCATACGTCAGGCAGTGCCTTAGCCTGGAAAGCGATTTGGCTAACTAATAGAAGACAGAGAGCTCCAATGAGAGGGATAGTTTCAGGGTGTAGGTAGTAGAGTGGCACAGAGCTCAGTGCGGGGCCACAATTATGTACAACACATATTAATGACTTGGATGTGGAAAGTGAAAGCGGTACAGCCAAGTTTGTGGATGACACAAAAACAGGTGGGAAGGCAAGTGGTGAGGAGGACTCAAAAGAGTCTGCAGAGGGATATAGACAGGTTAAGCAATTGGGCAAAAACCTTGGCAGATGGAAGATAATGTGGGGATAACGTGAGGTTCTGCACTTTGTCAGAAAGAACAAAGGAGCTGAATGTTATTTAAATGGAGAAAGACTGCAAAAAGCTACAGCACAGAGGGATGTGCACATAAATCACAAAATGCTAGCATATAAATTCAGCAGGTAATAGGAAGGAGATTGAACGTTGGCCTTTATTTCAACAGAAATGGAGTACAAAAGCATGGAAGCTTTGCTAAAACTATACAACGCACCAGTCAGAGAACAGCTAGAATACAGTGGCAAGTTTTGGGCCCATTATCGAAGGAAAGATATAATGGCATAAGAAGCAGTCTAGAGAAAGCTCAGTAGGCTGATACCAGGTTTGGAATGACTGTTTTATGAGGAGAGGTTGAGTAGGTTAGGCCTGTACTCATTAGACTTTAGAAGAATGAGCGGAGACCTTATTGAAACATACAAGATTCTTAAGGGATTTGACAGGGTGGCTGTGGAAAGGTTGTTTTCTCTTGTGGGAGAGTCTAGGGCCAGAGGGCATAATCTCAAAATACGATGTTGCCTCTTAAGACAGAGACTAAGAGGAATTTCTTCTCTCAGTGTGCAGTGAATCTGAAATCCTTTACCACAGAGGGCTATCGAAGCTGGGTCATTAAGTATATTCAAGATAGACAGATTTTTAAACAGTAAGGGAATCAAAGATTATGGGAAAAAAGCAAGGAAGTGGAGTTGAGAACTGTCAGATCAGCCATGATCTCACTTAATGATGGAGCAGATTCGATGGGGTGAATGGTCTTCCGCTGTTACTTCTTACAAAGCTTTGATCTTATTATGGGTGCCAGCTTTTGGGTTATGTCTCCCATGCAAAAGATCTCAAAGCGACTATTCTTAAAAGGAACAGAAACATTCTCCCCTGTGTCTAGGCCAATATTTATTCTTCAACGAACATCACTAAAAGAAACAGATTATCTAGTCATTTTATCACACTGCTGTTTGAAGGAAGTTGTTTGCACAAACTGCCTGCCAAGTTCCCTGCACCGCAAATGTCACTGCAGTTCAAAACATGCACCCGCATGAAATGCTTTGAAACGTGCCAATGCTGTGCAAAATTCATTAGAAAATTGAATATGTCACTGAATAGGAATTAATGTGGCAATCAAGTCTGCATCACTTGTAGTGCCCACAGCTCAGTGGGTAAACAAGCAACCTCTGTGATGCATTCATGTTTTTCCTGAGAGTATTGGCTGATTGGGAGACTCCATACAGAACCCAATGGTCAAACTGCCTTCTATAATACTACAACCTTGGAAACAAAGTAACAGTCAACACTACAGAACGCATTCCAGGATCAATACTCTGCTGGATGTTGAAATGTTTCAGGAATAGTTGCCCCTGCTTACAGTCCAGCTAGCTCACAGAGCTCACTAACAGATTACAGATCCCTCCAGTGTGTGGCAGAGTTGCACTTTCTTCCAGCACCCTCTTGACTGGCATCCAATTCCCTTCCCTCCATAAACCTGAGCTTGCTGTTTGTTGCTTTCAGTATGAATTGGCAAGAATTCAAGCATTTTTATTTACATTAAATTTGCAGTTGTTGATACCATTGCACGCAGCAATTAGAAGGGAAAAACAGAAAGGCTTAAGGAGGGAATTAAACAGAAATAGAGGAGTGACCCTCAACTGACTACCTGGAGGGGTGTCCAGGAGGCGGTGATGTTAACTTGCATTTTCCTTGGGACTCCAGCAGTTCAGGAAGGCTGCTCAGCAGCAATGTTCCCCTGGCACATGACCTCTGGCCCTGCAAGTGCCCCGTCTACCCCATTCTCCCCAATGGGCACCCAACACATTAATCATGGCAGCACCCTGCCAGCCCTAGCCAAATGGAAAGTGAATGAACACTCTGCTATCCAACCTGACAATTCATGCTTCTTGATCAAATTATGCTCTTTGTGAGAGTCTTTTTAGAGTCTTTTTAGCTATCTCAAACAATGGGATCAATCAGGTATCCAAAAAAATTGCGCTTCGCTCTTATGGCCAGTCCCTAGCTAATGGCTCAGTAAGGTTAGTGAGTAATCAGGGGCATATCGCTGACCTTCAATCAAACTAGCTTCCTTAAATGGGAGCAAGCCGCAAAAAGTTCACTGCTTCCCCTTGTTGTTAGAATGAATTGGCAAGAATTCAAGTGAGTTTTTCTCCTCACTCCACAGCTACTTACACCATTGTCTGAGGCAACTAAGAGAATCTTCAACTTTTTCTGAAGAAGGGCCCTGACCCGAAGCGTCAACTTTCCTGCTCCTCTGATACTGCCTGGCCCCCTGAACTCCTCCAGCTCCACACTGTGTTATCTTCAACTGACCCCCAGTTGTGATCAGGCTCTTCCTGGTTGCAGAGCACCTTCTCGGTTATTCACCACCCCCACAGGCTTCACTGATTAACCAAGTCATGCCTATCTCAAACAAATGCTAAATGGGTCAAGGAACTGAGGTTACTAGCATCCACCTCAAACTGCTGCTTGCGCTGCAAGAAGACAAAAGAGAGACACATTTATATATCACCTGTCACAGCCTTATGACTTTCAAAGGCCTTTTACCGGCAATATTTTGAAGTGCAGGTTACCACACTAACATCAGAAAATGCAGCGGCCAATTAAGACACAGCAAGATCCAACAGGCAAGCAATCAGAAAATGATCAGATAGTGTTAGTCATTCAACGGCACTCTTAACGCCTGGGTAACAACATTCTGGGTCTCAGTTCCATTTCTCTTCAGCACAAAGATCGAGACTGGCACATCAAGGGTGGGTTCTGAGGGAATGCTACGTCCTTGGAGGTGTTATTTTCAAATGAAACATTAAGCTGCTTACACTTGGGTGGGTATGGAAGATGTCACACTATTTCGAAGATCAACAAGCGAGTCACCTCCAATTATTACCTCTCAATCAACATTACAATAGGTCGGTAATCTGGTCACGTTCCTGCTTGTGGGATCGTACTGTGTGCACATAGGCTGCCGACTCACTAAAGCAGGCTGAGATGGTGAAAGGCACAACAGTCAGGTTTCCATAAAGCATGAAGAGGTCTCCTAGCTGACATCGCTCTTTAACACAGTGTTGCATAGTGAGTGTTAAACTCTGCCAGATAGTTTAACATGGTAAACAAAAGGAGTTGGCCTCCTGCCTACACTTGGTACAGGTAAATCCACTTTATCCCTCTTCAAACATGTAAAGCAGGTTAATCAATCCTGCAGAAAAAGCCACAGGAGGAGTCCGGGGGCAGGTAAAAACTTATCCACAGGAGTGTGTAAGTAAAAACCTCCCTTCTCTACTATATCCAATTGAAAAGCTGCCCATCCAGCAAAACAACAGATCTGTGGCTTTTGGAATTGGCCAACTGCTGCAAAATGGAAACAAAACAAACAGCCTTATGTTATTTTGATTCAAAATTGCTGGCTTTCTTCCCACTGGCAAAACTGCTTTGTTTTCATCGAACAGGGAGGGGACTCTCACCAAGCTTTCGGTCAGATTCAATAATTTTACTTGCGTTTTTTTTAACTCCCGCACAACTTCAGCGACTGACAGCCGAAATGTTCCCCTTCGTGACTAACGCCCTTCCTGCCCAGTTCTTATATACAAATTGTGCATCGAGAGGCTGCAATTATAATTTCCGTCGCTCCCATTCCCAACCTCGATATTTTTATTTTCTTTGCAAAGGCTTATTTTTAGTTAATCACGTTTTGTTTTGCTTTAAAAATACACAACTGTTTGCATTTTGCATGCTGAACCACTTATCCAACGTTACTGCGGAAATGTCTTTATGCTCTGCAATCCGATATGAATGAAATTGAGATTAACTGCAGAGAATTATTGCGGTGGAGGTGACCATTCTGCCCATCGTGCCTGCAAGCAATCGCTGGTCCCGCTGACTTTAAAGCGTCTATTGTCACAAATGCCTCTCCGGGGGGAGGGAAGAAAACAAATCACAAATGTTTTACTGGAGCCCTCTCTTCTGTTACGACCAACCTTTGCAAACTTTCTAAAATGTTTCGAAGCCCACTGTGCAATTTTCATCGAAGTCTGCCGGGGGAGAGGAATGTGAAGTAGTCTGCTGCCTACCTGTTTTAACTCGCTGGAGAAGTACAGGAGAGTCACAGCCATGCAGACACACTGCAGCAAAAGGACAGAACCCAGAACCAAGCCCAGTCTCTGGGCAGTTATCGAACTGCTGTTGCTCCCCATACTGGACTGCAGACCCTTGTTTATTTCAGGCAGCTCCCTGAGTTGGAAATGTTTCCACTTCAGGCGAGGCGGTTTTGTACAGCAAATGTACACAAGAGCAGGAGGGAGGAGTTAAGAGCGAGCTGCAGAAATTCCCTTCGGGACTGTTGTTTAGTCCATCAGTTTCTATTTCCCAAAACAAACGCTGGCATTTTCAGTTTCACCAGGAGTCGGTGTTTGTCTGAGAGAAGACCTTTCTTGCGCCGGGAATTCAGAACTGTAATCCCAGCGCAAGAAATGATCCTGTTGCATTCCACAAATCTGGCATATTTGACCTCACAGATATCAAAAGAACTGCCAGACCGGAGCTATAAACTCAACCATTTCACTTCAAACTTCCGGGGCTCCCAGCCCCTCCATGTCCTCGTTCAAAAAAAACATATTCTTTGTTTTCTAATTGTCCCACCCTTGGTCCAAATCTTCCGTTTCACCTCCTCCGGTCCTACCACACTCGTCAATTTTCCTTCCTCTGAGGTTGCTCTTTGCAATTCACTACAAGTGGCTGTGCTTTTCACAAAAGAAGGTGGCCATTCAGCCCCACTTTGTCATTCAATTATTTGAAACCACAAGCTTTTGGAACGCTGCTCCTTCATCAGGTCCAAGTGGAGAGGATCTCCAAGTAGATCACACTTCACCTGATGGAGCATTGCTTTGAAAGCTTGTGATTTCAAATAAACTTGGACTATAATCTGGTTTCATGTGACTTCTGACTTTGTCATTCAATTAGACGTAGCTGGTTTATACCTCCATTTGTCTACCTAGCTTTATTCCATTAATCTCATCCAACCAGATATTTATCAAACTCAAACGTGAAAAACTGTTGTAGTCTTTTGGGGGAAAGAGTTTTGAGATTTTTACTACCCCTTCTGTGAGGACGTATTTCCTCATTTTATGATATTCTTGATCACCTGCTGCTGAAAGGAACATCAACAGAGACTGAGGGAAGAAAAGAGGTCGATGGCCTAGTGGTATTAGCACTAGACTATTAAACCAAAGACCTAGGTAATGTCTTGTGGACCTGGGTTTGAATCCTGCCATGGCAGATGGTAGAATTTGCATTTTACAAAAATCTGGAATTAAAAGTCTAGAGATGACCGTGAGTCCGTTGCCGACTGTTGGAAAAACCCATCCAGTTCACTACTGTCCTTTAGGGAAGGCAACTGTCATCCTTACCTGGTCTGGCCGACATGTGACTCCAGACCCACAGCAATGTGGGTGACTCTTAAACTGTCATCTGGGCAAATTAGGAATGGGCAATAAAAGCTGGCCCCGCTAGCAATGCCTACGTACCACAAGTGAATTAAAAAAAGCACTAACATTCTTTAGGAAAAATCTGTGCCTTCATCTCACCATGAGGTCCACGAAAAAGCAAGCGTATGTGGTACTGCATCACTTCCTGTGATGAAATGTGCCTCAGTGGAGTATCACACAATCACCCATAACCCCTGATATTACATTTCCCCTCAAGTCTCTAATTCTAACCCTTGCACTACATCTCCACCCAAATCCCTGATTCCGTTTCTATTTTACAAGGAAATTTGCTGCATCAGCTTCATGAGTCTACCTGAACATGCTCTCAGCTTCTTTGGAGGAGATTTGAAATTTGAATCCTAAGTGTGATTTTTCAGATTCTGCTGGGCAGAAGCAGAATTGACGGATTGTTCTGGTTTAACATTGAGGCCATCATCTGGATTTCTCGATCAATGCAGCATCCCTGATCTTTTTCACAGTGGTGATGGTTGTTTCAACTGTAGGAGACTGTTCTTGTGAGAAACTTGATCCATCGCAACATACCATTTTCAATTTGAACGAGGTATGACCATGGGCATGATTCTTGTCCATAATGAGCTTGGTCTCAAATCCAAACTGGCTCCTAGTTCTAAGTATACTATACTTTTGTGATCTTGACTAGAGTTCCACATCTGAGTGGAACGGTTCTCATCTCGTTCTCCTTCATTTATCCCACTTTTGGAATACTACATTCAATTCCCATCTCACTGCGATAGGAAAGATTTTGTGAAGCCTGAAAGGGTTCAGAAAAGATTTACAAGGATGTTGCCAGGGTTGGAGGGTTTGATCTATAGGGAGAGGCTCAATAGGCTGGGGCTATTTTCCTGGAGCATCGGAGGCTAAGGGGTGGCCTTATAGAGGTTTATAAAATCATGAGGAGCACAGATAGGGTAATAGTCAATGTCTTTTCCCCACAGTAGGGGAGTCCAAAACTCGAGGGCTTAGGTTTAAGGTGAGAGGGGAACGATTTAAAAAGGACCTAAGGGGCAATTTTTTCACGCAGAGGGTGATGCGTGTATGGAATGAGCTGCCAGAGGAAGTGATGGAGGCTGATACAATTACAACATTTAAAAGGCATCTGGATGGGTATATGAAAAGGAAGGGTTTAGATGGACGTGGGCCAAATGCTGGCAAATGGGACAAGATTAATTCAGGATATCTGGTCATCATGGACGAGTTGGTCCATAGGGTTGGTTTCTGTGTCATACATCTCTGACTCTATGGCTAGATGGGTTAGCTACAGGAAAGATTTTCCTAATGGTGGGGAAAGGAAAATGGCAATAATGATCCTCTTGTCTCCAAACAATGAACAGCACGAGTACTACAGCTTGAGATCATCATTTTCAATGACTTTAAGAGCTTTGACAACCAATCAGATGATGGCTGTGTTCCTGCCTAATGGCATTGTGGGGGTACCTACACCAAGTCAACTGGAGCAGTTTAAGAAAGCAGCTCACCAACACCGTCTCAAGGGGAACTAGGGATAGGTAATATATTATGACCTAATTTAATAAAGTAAATTGTGATCAGGGAGGCCCACAGCTCATGAATGAATGAAAATAAAATGAGTATCTTGCTTTGACTTGGTATTTTGTGATGCACCACAATGCTTGTTTTCACTGTTGCAGTGAGTTGAGTGTTAGGGCTCTCAGAGTGACCAATTCCTTTTCATAAAATCATTAACTGAACTGAGGTATTCTCCCTGTCCTTGGTACTGTCTGAGAAAGGGAAGCCATATGCGGACCATCCTTTGGTGCAGTAGTCTCTGACCTGAACACATTCTTTGTCAGATTTCTGGGCACCTCTGAGTTAATTAAATCGCTGACTGGTTCCTGGTAGCATTGTGGTTGGTAACCATGTAAACTTTTCTAGCTCTTCAAGGAAGAACAGCATCACCTTGTTCGATTTTAGATTTTATTGTCATGTGTACTCAAGTACAGAAGTTCAGGAGTACAGTGAAATGTGTATAATGTCACCACACATGGTGCCATCTCTGCCAAGGTACCTAGGTACAAAAAAAACTTAGGTACAAAGCAGTAAGAGAAACAAATTTTCTGAAGAAGGGTCCCGTCCCAACCCGAAACGTCAGCTTTCCTGCTCCTTTGATGCTGCCTGGCCTGCTGTGTTCCTCCAGCTCCACACTGTGTTATCTATGACTCCAGCATCGGCAGTTCTTACTATCTCAGAGAAATGAGCCTTGAGAAATGGGAACAAAGCATCTTGCATTGCCAGGTGTTTTCACAAAATATATATAGTCTTTGCATCAAATCTCATCATTCTCAGTCCAAATCATTGTACTCATGGAGATGTTTTTGCTACTTCCTTAGAATTTAAGAAAGTCACTTGTTGGTGGCAAGGCTTTGTGGTGTTTCTGTTTTGAAAAGGAAACCATGAACTTAATCTGTGAGTGTCTCGCAAGCCCACGTAGCGGGTAGTGCTTCTTTCTCTAACATTGTATATCTCTATTCAGTGTCTATCTCTGTCAGTGAACAGAACATAGAGTAAACTGGTCTGTACCTTCCATCCATCTGCATCTGAAAGAGTTCAGCTCCTTCTCCTGTCGAAGATGCATCTGCAGCAATGGTTGTATGTAGCTCTGGGTCATAGTGAGCTCAAATATCAGGTGATAGCAGCCTCTTTCTCAAAGGACCTGGATTGTACCCCCTCCCAGCACCAATGATTCTCCTGTCACAACAACCGATGTAGTTGCTCCTGGATGTCAGCTAGGATGTGCAAGAACCTTATAAGCTGGAATCTCTGGAGTGCAGTCTCTTGTCTCCTCTGGATCAACTTTAACACCAAACGCATCACAATATGCCCAAACAACTTGACAGTCAGCTGCAAGAATTCATGTTTGTTGTTGAGTCTAAGTCCTGCTTCAAAAAGGCATTGAAGCACAGCTCAAACTTTAGCACCATTATCTGTCTGAGTGGATGCATGGACCAGGACATTATCCATATGACACACAACTCCATCAAATCCTGATGGATTCTTGATGTCTGATGGAAGATTTTTGGTCCTGATGTAATGTCAAAGGATAATGTTTTGAAACAAAACCTCCCATCTGGTGGAATTAATCAAGGAGTAGTTGCCAAAAGCCACACTTGGCATCTAGCCCCATAAGGATTGAACATTTTTCCAAGTTTGCGAAACTGTCATACAGTACAGAATGTAAATCACATTCAACTGCTTTGTTTCACTGTGTACACAAATTCTGGTACATCCCTTGAGTTTTGGTGCTGGGACCATCCCAAGCACCAGTTTGTTGGCTCTGTCACAGGTGAGATAACCCCATGCTTCAATGTACACATAATTTCTTTCTTTACCTTTGGCCAGAGTGGATGATGGAGTTTTCTGGGTGTAAACAGTTACTGGCTTACTTCCAGAATACAGAATAAAGTGATGCTCTGTCTTCATCTGTCCTAGCCCTGCAGACACCTATGGAAATTCAACTCCAGGCTTTCAGTCTGGTCTTCTCAGATTTCCAGTTCCTCTACTCTGTAAATCAGATATAAGGAGATGCAGGAGTGAACACTCTGTTTCAGGATCACATATTGCGTTTCAGTGATTATTCTCCTTCCTGCAGTGTGATGCCCAGACTGAACATAGTTTGGCCATGGTTCTGTACAACTGAAGTGTTACTTCCTCACATTTGAATTCCATTCCTGTTGAGATAAAGCCAACATTCCATTTACCTCTTTGCTTATTATTTGGAGCTGCTCACAAACCCTTGGTGATTTGGATATATTGGACACCTTGTGCTCC